TATGAGGCATGAAGTCAGGGACACTGCCCGTTTCGACTTTGTATCCTGCCCAGGACAGCACCTGCCTCTTGTGCGCTCCACAGACGCACCCTGGAGTGATGTGCAGAGCAAAAAGGCTCTGTGGGAAATGAGGGAGCAGGGAGAAACCTGCAGCAAGGCTGCCTGCCTTCCAGGGTGCACCACACATTCTCATCTGCTGTTCTCTGGCCTTCCCTTTGAAGACCTCAGATTAAAACGCTCCCAAGGAGCCCCACCCCCCTCTCCTCTGACAGCAATGAAGTCTGGGGCCTCAGGGCAGATGTGAAAGGAAGGGCCCGGGAGCAGGTCACTCAGAGCCAGTCCCTCTGCGTGGCTTATGGCGTGGTGGACCGAAGGGCCCCAATCCCAACTCCTCCCTTGGTGGCCTTGATCAAGCCACTTATTTTCTGGGCTCAGGTGTCTCACCTGTAAAACGAGGAGGACCCTGGCCTCGAGGGGTGGCTGGGAAAGTAAAGGAATCGCCTCCGTACAGAGCTTCTGCTGGCATGTGGGGTAGAAAACCACTCTCCCAGACTCAGTGAGACCTGGACGCATGGAGTGTAGCTCATGTTTCCACTCTTCCTCAAATCTTTTTTTTTAAATAATATTTTGTTGGGTTTTTGGTTAAAGTTTACACAGCAAGTTAGGTTCCCGTTTGACAATCTCTGCACAAATTGTTCAGTGACATGAGTTACATTTATCACAATGTGTCAACATTCTCTTTAATTGCGTTCAGTTTGTTCCCTTTCCAGGACTCTAGTTTCCCTGCCCCTCATCATCTCATCTTTGCTTTTGAGCAACTGTTGACCTCTTGGTCTCATACTGCTGGTTCTTAAGTAGCGCACCAATACGGGTAATAGCCTTCATTCTGTGTGCTGCTCTGCTGTTTGGCTAAAAGGTGGGTGATCGCAGGAGACAGGCTCAGTTCCAGGTTGAGTGTCTCAGGGCGATAGTCTCAGGGAGTCTTCTGCTCTCTGCTGTTTTGGTTTGTCTGGCCTTTTTTTTTCAAGAATTTGAGTTCTGCTCCACATGTTTCTCCCATTCTATCCGGGACCGTCTATTTTAACCCCGGGCAGGACGGTCAGTGGTGGCAGCCGGGCACCATCTAGTTCTTCTGGTCTCAGAATAGATGAGATTGTGGCTCATGTAGACTTGTTTCTTCTCTGAGCTTTCGGTTACCTTGTTTTGCTCCTGGCAAGTAGAGACCTGTAGTTGTATCTTAGGTGGCTGCTTACAAGCTTTTAAGACCCCAGATGCTCCTCACTTCATTAGGATGCAGATCATGATTTTTGTGAACTGTGTTACGCCAATTGACTGTGTTGTCCCATGAGACTGTGGTCCTAAGCTTTCAAACCCAGAAAACCAATACTGGAAGGTGTTTAGTTATGTTGGTGGAGTATCCGGATTTGTGTCTTTAATGAAGGAATATATGTGCCTGCACCCATATATTTTACACGTACCAATACATACTTCAGGGAGCCCTTGTGGCACAGTGGTTAACAGTTTGGCTGCTGACCAAAAGGTTGGTAGTTCAAATCCACCAGGTGCTCCCTGAAAACCCTATGGGGCAGTTCTACTCTTATCTTATAGGGTAGCTGAGTTGGAACTGACTCGACAGCACTAAGTTTGGTATTTCTGGGTTTACAGATAACTTACATCTGTTCTCACCTACGTACACACCTGTACCTACCCATATACCAACATGCCTCTACCCATCCACATGTGCTCACACACTCATTTTTACTTTGGTTGTGCTGTGCTCACTACACCCACATTTGGTGCCACTTCCCCATCACCAAAAGAAAAAAGAAAATAAGTCTCTACAATCTCAAACATTTCATCTCAACCAAAGTAAGTTTGGTCTTTTAGCAAAAATCTAAGAGGCCCAATTGGGCTCAATGTCCTTCTTAGGTGAGTTGCCATGGTACAGGACTTGAGCACCTACGATTGAGCTGAATGACTGCTTCTGTGATTTGTAAACACCTCCAGGAAGCAGCCTCCCAGGCCCCGAGAGCCCAGCTTCTCAAGACCACAGGCTCCATTACTTGCCACCTCCTGGGCCCACCTCATGAACTGGACCTCCCTCAAAAAAAAAAAAATAAAACACCCTGGCTTGTCCCTGGCCTGAACTGTGGTCATTTCCTCTGGACCAGGGCACTGCTGACCCCCCGAGGCATTGTCGTCACAGGGGATTCCTGGGGCTCCCCTCAGGATCTCTGCCCTGCTACCTGAGTCACACTTTCCTGCAGGCAGGAGGCAGCGAACTGGCTGGCAAAAATAATAAAAGTCGTTCAGGAGATGGTGGAAGGGAGGGGAAGTAACTGGGAACCCGGGGGAGAGAAAGCTGAGGACAGTGAGGTCAGACATCACTTATGTCACCCCCCTGAACACGACACCCTAAATGGCAGTTGAGTCCTGCAGCTGTGACCCAGCTCACCCCACCCGCCACCTCAAATGCACATGAGTAGGCGTTTTTTCCTCTGCGAAGTCCGAGCATGGCGGCTGGTCAAGCCAAGAACCTCAGTCAGATAAGAGAAAGCTCTGCCGGAAGCACAATCCTGTCCAGAGAGGCCTGGAAACAGTCAAGTTACAAACCCAAGGAAGATGCCGCTGGTGAGTGTGAGGCCCATTCTGGAGGCGCTGCTTCACCCTCTGATCTGGCCTCTGGTGCTGTGTGGCTCGTCTGACCTCAGCCAACTCATATCCCATCGTCTTTATTCCTCAATGGGCCCTGGTGGCACAGTGGTTAAGAGCTCAGCTGCTAACCAAAAGGCAGACAGTTTGAATCCACCAGCCGCTCTCTGGAAACCCTACGGGGCAGTTCTACTCTGTCCTATACAGTCGCTATGAGTCGGAATCGACTCTGTGGCAACCGGTCTGTTGGTTGGTTTTATTCCCGGGGTCACCAGTCTCCCAGCTCTGGCCCCTGGACTCCCTGTTAGCTCCTTTCTCCTTTGTTCTGTTCTCCAGCACAGACTCGTCTGCCCTCAGCTGCCTGGCTCCTGGTCCTTTGGGTCGCAGCTGAGGTCACTGTCCTCCCACCTCCTTTTGGAGCACTCTGTGCCTGCCCCTCACAGCCCTTGTCGCACCAGGCACCAGGCACCGTCTGCATTCCCAGCTAGACCGTCAGCTCCATGGGAGCCTCTGGCGGCAGGGGCCGTCCCTGCTCACTGCTGCACGGGGGCAGGGGTCCTCTCTGCTCACTGCTACACGGGGGCCTCTGGGGACAGGGGCCACCCCTGCTCACTGCTACACAGGGTGGCGGGTGGGGGGGCAGCATCCGTCCCTGCTCACCACTGTACTTCCAGCCCTTCGGTCATGACTGTTCACACCAGAGCAGAGCCTGTGGCCTCCAGGAGCGTGGGCAGGACTGGAAAAACTCATAGCTTTGACAGCCAACACGTGGCCTGGAAACCACCTGCACAGGGGCCCTGCTCAAACACCAGGGGTCCTGGCAGGTCAGAGGTGGCGAGGGCCCAGCTGTGAGTTAGCAGCAAGGAGGAGAAGCAGCACTTCTTTGGGACCTTCCAAGGAGGGCAGCTGGGACACATGGCTGTCTTACTTAGCCAGCCTCCTCCTGGAACGCCCCCTACGCTGTGTCTGGGGCTCTGAACACTCGCCTACCAGCCTACCAGGAATGCCCTCTACGCTGGGCCCAGGGCTCTGAACGCTTGTCCGACCTGGAACGCCCAACGGCGTCAATTGTCTTCCCAGGGACACACGCGTAGGAAAGAGGGCGCCAGTGCCACACCAGGCCGTGAAGACAAACGCCACCACCTGAGTGGTAGCAATCCACCCCAGACACCCAGGTGACTGTTCACTTGGGAGGGCAGAGACACATGGCCTCAGAGCACAAGGTCCCAGCTCCGTCGCTCGACAGCTAGTTGTGGGTCCTGGATCCGGTTTCCGGTGGGCTGAGGGAGTAAGAGCCCGAGGCATGCTGGGGCACGCATGTTCTCTTCCAGAACTCAAGACGCTCTCCAGAGCTGCCCGCTGCAGGTGAAGTCGGCTGCAAAGCCAGGGTGCTGGGTGTGGCCTTCTTTTCCTTCTGCGGCTTTGCTGTAGCCGAACAGACCTGTCTCCGGCTGGGTATCGCTTACTCTTGCCGGTGGATTATACAGAAGTTGCCAGATAAAATACAGGGCACCCAGTTACATCTGAATTTCAGATAAGCCACAATTTTTTACCATTAGCATGTTCTATGCAATATTTGATCATTATTTAATCTGAAATTCAGATTTCACTGGGCATCCTGCAGTTTTATGTGCTAAATCTGACAACCCTAATCATATTCATGTCAAGCATATTAAGGCTAGCTGCTTCCTAGATGGTCTCAAAAGTATAACCAACCGCCAAACTCAACTCTCCCTCTGCTAAAAACAATAAAACCCTCCAAACAGAACTTAACTTTTGTTCACTTCCAGGACATGTTTTAAGAAGAGAGACCTGATTATTACACACACAAAGACAGAAACAGAGTCTTCTTACAAGTCCCCCTAAGCTAAGAGCTCAGCAGGCCACTGGCCAAAGGCGCTGGGGCCGGCTGGCTCCTGGGGCGACTGTCAGAGTCAGGAGGGTGGCGGAGGAGGAGAACTGAAAAGTGGCAACGCCCCCAGGGAGGCCTGCCCAGTGCGGAGGGGCAGTGGGGGAAGCAGGTGCTAATGGCAAAGGACTGACAGAGCAGCGTCAGGGCCCAGCTGCCACACGGCACACGTCCCTGCACACCAGATGCAAAGAACAGCAGCCACCACCTGACAGACAAGCTGTGGGAGAAAACTTCAAGTCCCTGATTCGGAGAAATGCCCAGTGGTCGGGGACAGACACCCCCAAGCCCACACCCCGCCTGTGTCCCAGACTCTGAGCTTTGCTAGGTAAGCAGGAGCCCTCCCACGTCCCCACCTGCAGGCTGAGCAGGACTGGAGCCCGAGGGGCGGGGGAGTGCGCCGGGCTGGCAGGGGAAGGGACAAAACGCCTCCCCGAGATTTCTAGAAGTCAGGTTTATTACCCCGATCAAAAGTCGATCATATAATACCGTGGCTTTAGATTTTTATTTTTGCATGGCTACACAGCCTGGATGACTAGCTTGCAATCCATGCTAGTTGTGCTCTACAGAACAGGGGTGGTGTTACAAGGCAAAAAGTCGTCACCAACAAATTAACAAAAAAAATCAAGACTGATGTGCAGCGTGGCCCTAGCCGAGCTGTTTACCCACGTCTCATGCAAAGGGGATCAAATGACGTCCGCAGCACACAACTACACAGAGGCCGAGCTTGTCAATGATTAATGTACAGTGCTCAGAAGTGAGAGAACTGAAAACACAGCGAAATCAGTGACTCTCCTCACTTCTTCTTCTTCTTCGTGGAATACAATTTTTCTTCCAGCGGGACTGGGACGATCCCGTCGCACGCCTTCACCTCCTGGGTCAGTGGGTGCCTCACAACATTCGGTCTGACCACATCAGTGTCTCGAGACAAGTGCTCCATGATGCTCTCAACAGTTGTTGTTGGTGCATAAAAATCCACCAAGAAATACCTGCAGTAAAAGGGAAACACTGTGAAAACACTGTCAGTTCTTGTACCTGAGATACAACAAGGGCACCATTTTGGTCGCTGTGCTCATTTTACTCCTGCCTAGAGAGAGATATCAACCACACACACCTCTGTCCACATGGAAACGCCCAGCGGGCCAGAATGAACATCAGTACAGCAGGCCCAATCTCCCTTTTCCTACAGCCCTTCCCATTACACGCTCGTGAAAACCTGAGTCCAAACAGACTCTGTGGCAGCAAAGCATTGTGACATTACATACTGGGAAGTATAGCAAAATCACAGGTACCGAAAAACTCGCTGCCATCGAGTCGATTCTGACTCACAGCAACCCTATAGCACAGAACAGAACTGTCCCATAGGGCTTCCAAGGAGCCGCTGGTGGATTCTAACTGCCAATCTTTTGGTTAGCAGCCTGAGCTCTTAACCACTGCGCCACCAGTGATCCAAAAAATTATAGGTAGAAAATTCAACAAAGTTGAATTTTTTTTTGGTGGAAACATCTGAGCATTGCGTGCTCTTCTAATTTTCCAAAGGCGTTTACGGGTGACCTAATGCGCCAAAAAGAGAGAGCCACCAGCTACACGCATACACACTACGAATGAGGAAAAGGCTGAGACAGGCATGGGATTTGTCTAAGACCAGCCTGCATGCCACCACCCGTCTGTCAGTGTGTTGTCCTGTGGTGGCTGCACCTTGTTGTGAGGCTGGAAGCTCTGCCACCAGTATTTCAAAAACCAGCAGGGTCACTGATGGTGGACAGGTTTCCGTGGAGCTTCCAGACTAAGACAGACTAGGCAGAAGGACCTGGCGGTCTCTACTTCTAAAAAAACTGGCCAGTGAAAACCTTAAGAATACCAGCGGAACACTGTCTGACACAGTGTCAGAAGATGAGCCCTTCAGGTTGGAAAGCACTCAAAATATGACCAGGGATATCAATTGCTGATATCAGAAAGATCTTGGCTAAAAGCAGAGAATACCAGAAAGATGTTCACCTGTGTTTGATTGGATATACAAAGGCAATTGGCTGTGTGGATCTTAACAAATTATGAATAACACTGCAAAGAATGGGAATTCCAGAACATTTAATTGTGCTCATGAGGAATCTCTACACAGAACAAGAGAAAGTCATTCGAGCAGAACAAGAGGATACTGCGGGGTTTAATATTAGGAAACGTATGAGTCAGGGTTGCATCTCTACGCTGAGCAAATAATCTGAGAAGCTGGACTATATGAAGAAGAACAGGGCATCAGGACTGGAGGAAGACTCATTAACAACTGCAATATGCAGCTGACAAAACCTTGCCTGCTGAAAGAAAAGAGGACTTCAAACACTTACTGATGAAGATCAAAGACCCCAGTCTTAAGTATGGATTACACCTCAACATAAAGAAAACAAAAATCCTCACAGCTGGACCGATAAATAACATCACGATAAAAAGAGAGGAGACTGAAGTTGTCACAAAGATTTCATTTTACTTGGATCCACAATGAACCTGTCGAAAGGGCAGTCAAGAAATCAAGACACATTGCATTGGGCAAATCTGCTGCAAAAGACCTCTTTAAAGTGTTACAAAGCACAGATGTCACTTTGAGGTCACTTAAGGTGCGCCTGACCCAAGCCATGGTGTTTTCAATCATCTCACATGCATTTTGAAAGTTGGACAATGGATAAGGAAGACTGAAGAAGAACTGATGTCTTTGAATTATGGTATTGGCAAAGAATATTGAGTATACCATGGAATGCCAAAAGAACAAACAAATCTGTCTTGGAAGAAGTACAGCCAGAGTGCTCCTTAGAAGCAAGGATGGCAAGACTTCGTCTCACATACTACAGACGTGTTATCAGAAGGGACCAGTCCCTGGAGAAGGACATCATGCTTGGTCAAGTAGAGGGTCAGTGGAAAAGAGAAAGATCCTCCACAAGATGGACTGACACAGTGGCTACAACCATGGGCTCAAACATAACGATTGCGAGCACGGCACAGGACTGGGCAGTGTTTCACTCTGTTGCACACAAAGTGGCCATGAGTCGGAACCTACTGGACAACACCAAACGACACCAACATCCTGTACGCACATCCAAGAGCCAACAAGGAACAAGAAGAAAACCCCTAGCACCTTGGGTGAAAGAATCTAACATTCATCTACTCGGACCAGACTAAAGCAGACAGGGCATCCCACACAGCTCAACCATATTAGAAGATAAACAACTTCAACCGCTGCAGCTGGGTGAGGATACAGAGCGACAAGCTCCCTTCTTCCTTGCCCACCCCTCTCTCAGTTCTGAAACTTTAAGCCTCCCTTACACTGTTCATTAAGTGCTTGGCTGGTAACCAAAAAGGTGGCAGTTCGAATCGACCAGCCGCTCCTTGGAAACCCTATGGCGCAGTTCTGCTCTGTCCCATAGGGTCGCTATGAGTCGGAATTGACTCGACGACAACGGCTTTTTTTCATACTGTTCAGCCTCGACCACAGGATTGTGAAAGGGCAGCAGCAGCAGTCCTGAACCCAGTGTTTCCCATTTCAGCAGTGTTCCTGCTGGTTCTTGTTGCCGGTTGCCATCGAAGTGGCTCCAACTCACGGGAGCCCCGTGTAGAACAGAACACAATGTTGCCTGGTGCTGTGCCATCTTTGTGATCATCGGTATGGATCCGCCGTTGTGGCCACTGTGTATTCTGAGCGCCTTCCAACCTAGGGGGCTCATCTTCCAGCATTTTATCGAACAGTCTTCTGTTGTGATCCATAAGGTTTCCACTGGCTAATTTTCAGAAGTAGATCACCAGGCCCTTCTTCCTAGTTTGCCTTAGTCTGGAAGCTCCACTGAGACCTGTCCGTCAGGGTTGACCTTGTTGGCGTCTGAAATGCTGGTAGCCTAGATTCCAGCTTCAGGGCAACATGCAAACCACCGCAGCAGGACAGACTGACAGACGGGTCTAGCTGGTTAAGACGACCTTTTCCACGTCATTCACCCTGTTCTAGCCACACTACTCCCACTCAGGGTCTTGGCACTCGCTGTTCCTTCTGCCAGAATGTTCTTCACACAGCTCATCCTGCAGAGAGGCCTTCTGTGACAGCTCCACCTAAAGGAGCACCCGCCTGTCCCACCCACCAAGTGCCACCACTCTCCACCCCCTTACTCTTTCTCCACGGCGCGTCCTCATCACTGATACAGCAGGAAACTCGCCACCATTGAGACGACTCCAACTCACGGGGACCCTACAGGACAGAGCAGAACTGCTCCATACAGTTTTTCTCGGCATTAATCTCCACGAAAGAAGGAGCCCTGCCCGTGCAGTGGTTAAGCACTCAGCAGCTAAATGAAAGGTCAGCAGTTCAAAACCACCAGCCGCTCCACAGGAGAAAGAGGTGGCAGTCTGCTTCCGTAAAGTTACGGCCTTCCAAATCCTATGGGGCAGCTCTACGCTGTCCTATAGGGTCACTATGAATCAGAATCAACTCGACGGAAACGGGTTTAATTTTTTCAGAAGCGGATTGTCACCTCTTTCTCCTATGGAGTGGCTGGGGGGTTTGAAGTGCCAACCATTTGGTTAGCAGCCAAGCACTTAACCACTGCGTCACCAGGGCTCCTTCCTGATGTAGCATATATTTGTGTATTGTCTCGTTCCACTAAAACATAATAACCCTGAGAAGAAAGACATCGTAGCTAGATCTCCAGCACCCTGAACAGAGGCTAACATATAGTGGGGTCCACAGAAAATGCTGGACAATGGTGGTGTTAGCCTGAAATTCTCACAGAACACAGGAAAGACATAACTTAAAGTGAGAAAATCAACAAGGATAGAAGTTATAAGAAAAAGGATAGTATGTCACAAATCCAAACAAAGAGGGCTCAAAACTCGTCAGAAGACTTTTGCTGAGTGAGTTTTCACTCTTACCCACACCTAGTGGGAAATTCACTCAAGTAAACAAATAATTAAAAGTGAAAGGATGGAAACTGTATATATAGTTATATATTTACACACACACACACACACACACACACCGCACACACCGATCAAAAGAAAGCTCAGGTGGCTAGGATGTCTGTTATCAGACCGAGCAGACCTCAGAGCAAAGAAAACCAGCAGGGATGAAAAGGGACACAGTGAAGACACAACAACCCCAAATGTGTACGCCCCAGACAAGAGTTCCAGCATACAGGAAGTAAAAACCAAAAACCAACAGCACTGAAGGAGAAACAGACAAAACCACAATTATTCAGTTGGAGACTTGGATACTCCTCTCTCCGTAATCAATAGAACTACAAGAAAATCAGCAAGGCTATAGAAAAAGTGGACATCGTCATCAACCAACTGGATGTAACTGACATTGATAAAATCTTCTCTCCAGTAACAGCAGAATACATATTCTTCTCAAGTGTACCTGGAACACTTACCAAGGCCGATCAGATTCTGGGCTATAAAACAAGTCTCGATAAATCTGACAGGATCCAAATTATATGGAAAGATCTCAGGAAAATCCCCAAATACTCGGAAGCTAACACATATCTAAACAACCCACAGGTCGAAGAAGAAATCAAAAGGGAAGTTAGGAAGTGCTTTGAACTCGAAAGAAAAAGGAAACACAACACACCCAAATCTGGGGGATTCCACTGAAGCAGTGCTTGGTGGGCATTTATGGCACTGAACATTTAGTAAGGAGAAGGCCTCCGATCAAAGACTTCAGCTCCCACTAAGAAATTAGAAAACAGCAAATTAAATCCAAATAATACGATCAAAGCAGAAATTAATGAAACAAATTAGCCAAACTAATCAGTAAAAAAAAGACACAAATTACTAATATCGGGAGTAAGAGAAATGAAATCACTAGATTCTACAGATCTTAAAGGGATAATTATAGGATATTATGAACAATTTTATGCAATAAATTTGAGAACTTAGACAAAGTGGTCAAATTCCTTGAAAGACACAAACTACCCAGACTCATTCAAGAACAGATAACCTGAGTAACCCCTGTATCTAT